AAAAGTTTGGAATGGTCCACTCCGAAACTAGTCTGGCTCACAGACACACAACCCAATGAAAGAATAGACTATTCCAAGCTGTTACTTGTTGTTAAACAAATGTTTAAACAACTCTACTTATTCAATAATGTGGTAAATAATGCTAAAAGGTGTCGAAACGTATTTTCTCTTTAAGCCTACTTGCTGTTGCAGTTTCCTGCAGCCAAGATCAACAGTTTGGTGAACCGATAAGCAGAATTTCGTTGATCTCATTGGCTGTAGGTTATTGGAAAGACAATTATAAAAGTGGGTGGAGAGAATATTTCTCCATCTTCCGTGTTAGAAAGTTATTTCTTTGGTATTTGAGCTTTATATAATATTTTAAGAAATTTTATTTCTTTTAGTGTGTTACTTGAATGATAATGAGTTCCTTATAATATATTAAAATATAAGTTATAAATTTCATCACCTTCACAGCAGGAGCCACCAAAGCCTTTCAGTTTTGGCTATCAGTCCCAAGACGATGACGGCAACACCCAGCAACGAGAAGAGGCAGGGGACGAGAACGGGAATGTGCGGGGAAACTACGGCTACACTGATGCTTATGGTCTTTTCCGTAAAGTAAATTACGTCGCTGATGTTGACGGCTTCCGGGCGAAAATCGAATCTAACGAACCCGGAATCACCAGTGATGATCCGGCCTTTGTGCAGATTGACAGTCAAGAACCTCCTGCACATATTCAGGAAGCCTACTCAGCTCCAAATAAACCCAAAGCTTTTACAGAATCAGCAGATCGCAGCTACAGCCAACCACATCGTTACGTGGCTCCCAGGCCTGTTCCAGCCCGAGTGGCTTTGACCCATCCTGTTCCGTACGGTGTGAATCCTGCTGTCTTACCAGTCAGAGGACTCTCCGTTTCACCTCATGGAGCGGTTAGAACAAGCGGACTGGCCGTTTCTCCCTATAAACTGAATAAATTTCATGCCCCTTCATTCACCGCTGCCCATTATTAGTAGTTGAACTACGAAGTCAGAGTAGTATGTAAACTATGATAGCTTTAGTGTTAACTTTCATGACGCGGTTGTGTCCTTACTTCTTCTGAAACAGGATGAGTTTTGACTATGAATTATTCTTATTTAATATAGTGATTTTCTAGTATTTATCCTCTCATAAAAGTGCTATTACTATCGTAATTTTACGTATACCCCCAAAAGTGCAAAGACGGTACCGTTTGGATATGATTTTATTAAGACGTCATATAAATTAAATGATTCCATAAAAAAGTAACATAATATCACCGAAACGGCGAAAACAACTTGTTGTTTTCTACTGAAATATTCCTGTATCGTATAACACATTATATCCTGTCTCTTGACATTTATTGTGTTTAAAGTTGTTTCATCCTATTTCCATGTTCGTTTTATGAATAAAGATCAAATGTTATAAACGATGTTTTGTTTTCACTTTTTACGAAACAACTGCCTTTCTATTCCTTATAAAGTACCACAATCTGGCTTAGCGTGGCCTAAATGGATAGTGCGGATGAAATGTCCAAGGCCCACTGTGATGCCTCTGAATACACTTCGTACTTACATCTGTGGGTGCGTTATAAGATTCACAGTCAAGCACTTTTTAGGGTTAGACAAAGCTCTTGTGGTAGTAATTATTGCTGGCTGTTTGCCTTCCTTCTGGTCAGTAGTTCAACAGGGCCTACTGTGCCTAATATCTTAGAAAGTCTGTGGTCGGGTTGTTTTGCTCATTTGTTGCGTAATGTGACGTTCAGGTGTAAAATACGCATTATAAAGTGCATATTACACACACATATATATATATATATCTACTCATAGTATACAAATTACAATATAAATATATATTATGGACTTTATCGTATACCTTTCATGTAGATCATGAATAACTGTAATTTAAAGATATGTGGTAGCTAAAGAAATCATCATGATAAACGTGTATTTAAATACATAATAGAGTATAGTGTTATGTGATCACTTCAAAAAAAAGAGGGCGAACGACATTATAAACATTCTTTACCTGAATTAAACGGATAAATTATCATACATTGTACGTGATATCTTAGCAGTAAATTTGAGTGTTAACTATCTAGGAACTGAGTTAATCTCCTACGTAAGACATATATTTTAATTCGTTTGCTTGTCTGTCATTAAGTACAAAGCTACACAATGGGCTATCTGTGCTCTGCCCACCGCGGGTATTGAAAGCCGAATTTTGACGTTATAAACCCACAGATTTATTGCTGAGCCATCGGGGCAAAATCTACACGATGGGGAAACGAACCTCTGAAGGTAGCATTGTATGTCCGTCAACATACAACTAACCCACCAGGGGACCGCATAGTTTTTCATCTATGATAAATGAAAAAAGAAATTATACGATTTACTGTTAGTGAAAATTCACGAGAAAAACTTAATTTAGCCATTAAAAAATATAAGAGTAAGAAAAAACTTCCGTTATGTAAAGTTAGGAATAAGTATTTCAATATATATATATTACTGATTGTTCGTGTTTGGAGACGGGATTCGAACCCCTGACCCTCAACTCACAAGTTGAGTGCCTCAACAACGAGGCCAATGTTATTGAAGGGTTGATAACAATCATTTGAAAAAAATCAAGCAAAATATTTTAGTTTCTCTGCATTTGCTTAAAAAATAGATGGCTGACTTAATTTTGTTATTCTACCTTTGGAAGATAATATTCAAGAGTTCATATAATAGTATTTTGTTATATTATAAAATATATTAAGTATATAATGTTATTTTAAGGGATGCATTTCACATTGATCTTAATTTTTGTGTTACTTAAACAACAACGTAAAAAACTGACAGGGAGGGTGACCGGAAAACTGAGGGAGTTTTGATTTTTTTTAGTTAGATTTTTAATAAATTATTTTTAAGTCATTATTTCGCCAAAAATCTGAACATGTTTATACTCTAACACGTATTAATAAACCTCTTCTATAGGAAGCGAACTGTTTTTGGTATTTTAATAGAAAATACAATTTATCTGCAAAACAATAGTCAGGTAAAGTTGTCACTGAAAGAAGTCTAGAAAGGTTTGTTTTTGACTCTACGTAAGGTTTCTTGAAAAGAACTTCCTTTATAATTCTCTCTAAAAAAATAATGATAAGGCTCTCTCTAGAAGAACTCCAGTTTTTGTTTTCTCTATAAAATCTCCTTGTAAATTTTGCTATAGAAGAACTCCAATTATGGGTTTCGCTAGAAATGCTTCTGGTAAATTTGTCTCTACAAAATGTCAGTACATTACGTTAAAACAATTTTGGTGCCTCACAGCGTCGTTACATTCCATATTGTCACGTTTGGTTCTGTTCAATATGATGACCGTACATCTTGACAATAGCACTTCAGCGTATAATCTATTGCAAAAGGCGTAGTTATAAGGTTGTCATTCCAAATCATACCCCTCCTCCCAACAGACTTTCTATAATCCATCTAGTTTACGAAGATGACGGTTTCCCAGCGTCCGCTTCAACAACTCGATTGCACCGAAATCCATTGGCGCTGCCTTCGGTAACTTGATTGGAAGTTTTGCATAAGATAGCATGAATATCTGTCGCGTAATGGACGGTTGAACGAATATGTTGTGGAAGCAAGCTGTGTATACGTAATTGTGTCGCTTTTCCAAATGGAGATCCTTTTGTAGTATGTTGTGTACTGTTGCTAAGGGCACAGAGACGATTTTTGCCATTGACATTTGTGTTTTTGGCTTCTCACCTATTATAAGACGGCGCACTTTTCTTCCCACGACTGAAATAGGGTTTGTTGCAGGTCCATCTCTTTTTGTATGATCCTGGTGTCCCAAATTGATCCATACTCCTTTGTTTTCTAATGCCATTAAGTACAAGGAATATCCCCGACTTGTAATTTCTAAATCCTTGATCTGAAAAGAAGTTTATGATGTGAGTGTATGAATATTTTATATCAGAAAGTGCTGTTATATACCATTTCCAAAAGTAGTAAATTTTCAGTGGCATCACATTTCCTACGCAACATAAAAAAAATTCAAAATGTAGTTCTGAAACATTCTATTCCACAGGTATTTTATATCGGCTGTGGCTATCACGCGACTTGCTTATTTGCAGACTTAAAACATCTTTAATATAACGTACTCAAACCTCTGTAGAAGAACTCCATGTGAAACTATTTCTAGAGAGCTTTCTAGTAAACTTGTCTCTAGAATAAATACATGTGTGGCTATCTATAGAAAAACTACTGGTAAGATTGTTTGTTAAATACGTTATTTTAATATTATCTCTATGATTTAGGTAATATTTGTCAAGAATAACTCGTACAAGGGTTCCAGGAAACTCCATGTATACGGTTGTCTGCAGAGAAAATTTGATAAGGTTGTGTTTAAAAAAACTTACTTCTTGACGAATCCTAAAAGGCTATATCTGGAGCATTATACGCTAAAAATATTTTATCGACAAGCAAGTAAAATTTTCTGAAGACTTACTCGACAATGATTTAAAAATAGGACACTAAACATCTCTATAATCAAATTCAACTGTATGATGAATCTATGTATTGAATCAAATAACTCTTCTAATTCTCACTATAAGAACGATAAGCAAACATGGCCATATTTTTCTTGTTCGCTACAAAACGATTTGAATGACGTTTTTACTGAAATGTATCGAATTTCAAGTTTGTGTGAACGTTTAGTTCAAGAGACGGGTTTATTCAGTTTCATTGCGGCGAAATTCTTCTTAAAGAGGTATTGGTGAGCACCTTTACCAGAACCTGGCATCACAGAACCAAGTTTCAGCAAGTAACGGTATCTCAAAGAAGAACAAACATAACGGTATTCGGTACCAACTTATTAAATGAAGCCGTACTCTACATAAAATTCCCCAATGAACCGTTACTGGGTTCCGATCAATACCGATGGAATTTCTTACCTCAGAGTTACTTGTGTTATCCACATAAATAGAAACTACTTTTATAACTAGTAGCCAAGTGGTAATGTTTGTTCTTCCAACTACCTTCAAGGAAAACCACCAGGGCTACCTAGTTCAAAAACTAGAGAAAACTAGCAGAAAAAAAGCTGATTATCACGCTTAATAGACTTTGCATTTTACAGCCCTTTGAATTTTATGTTGTCTAAACCCGTTTTTTTACACAATTCAAGAGTATGTATTGTTGCATCAGCGAGGTCACGTGACTAGTGTCACGCCACCTCTCGAACCTTCCGGAATAGTCGGGAGATTACTAGATATAGGGTAGCTGGTATATATATAAGAGGGTGACAATGTGACGGAACAATGTGTGTATTGGCAGTGAGT